TATTCTGTTAGAACTTAATGATTATCCTAATTGTATTTTATATTTTTTATATTTAAAATAAAATATTTATCATATATTTGATTATGTTTATCTGCAATTAGTTACATGAATTCGGATATGAAGCTTTAATAAGTTACTAGAAGGATACTCGTGAAATGCAGCGAGATACATCTTGATTTTAATATTTTATTCTTTATCTCAGTCGATGTTATAGCATGGTCTTATGTGATTTTGAAAAAACGATAATGTTTTTATTTTTGAATAAAATACAAATTTGAAGATATCATAAAAATTTGACAAATATATAGAACTCGATAATTATCCTAATTATATTTTAGATTTTTTAGATTTTAAAATGAGATGTTTATCCTTTATTTGATTATGTTTATTCGCAGTTAGTCACACGAATTCAAACATTGAGCTTTAATAAGTTGTATTTATGCATAATTTACTTGTAATCTTGAATTTTAAGTAACACGCATCAATAAACAGTACTTCATGCATAAAAAATAATTTTTAAGAGTTTTTGTCAAATAATTTATAATATAGTATAGATACTTACGCACAATCTACTTGTAATCTTGAATTTTAAGTAATATACATCAATAAACAGTACTTAATGCATAAAAAATTGTTTTTAAGAGTTTTTGTCAAATGTTTTATAATATAGTATAGATAAACTCAAATATTTATACCACCATATTTATTATTTATTGAAAATAAAAATGAAGGAAAATGTGAGTTGTAGAAACAACCAAAATGGAAGAAGATATGTTCCTTTGTTTCATTCCAAATCCGTGAAGATATTAAAACAAGTTTCTTCTATTCATATAAAACATTCAATTTTGTTCAGAAACATGGAACATTTCTTACACTTGCATTTATTCACATTCTTCCATTTTTGTCCTTTTACTATTCAGATGACAATAACATATCTGATTATGGGAACTTTTTACTCAGTAAGTGCTTACCTTATGGAGTCAGTTTGGCAATAACAAAGAATCTTACTCAGTAAGAAATATAGCCAAGAGTCTTACCCGGTGAGCGCTTGTCAGGTAAAAGGCGCTTACCAACAATCTATTTTGATGGCTGATAATGTTATCCGACAAGGTAGATGCAGGTGGTGTTTTTGCTGGTAAGTGTTTGGTAAACGATCCCTATATTAGCAAACATTTGCCTCATATTATTAAAAATCGAATTTACAGTTTACTATTCATTTGTACAATTTTTAAATACATCACGTTTAAACTCAATAGAACTAATTGATGAATGCAATCAAATACACGACAAGTGTTATACCTTATTAATAGAACAGAATACTCTATAAATTTTGGGTTTTCTATTTTCAATGAGGAATTACATGAATTTTCACTTTGCAATAAATTTTACATTCTACTGCAATGCATTGGTACGTGCAACTAGTTTGTTAAAAGCACAAAGAAATCACACTTGTTTTTCTTGAAACTTGTCAAACCGGTAAAAAATAGGCAGAATGTCGTCTTCTTTGCTCACTGTTACAGATTAGAGTTGAATTGTTATAAGAAAACTGATTACCAAAATGGAAGATTTTAGTACCTCAAAATGTATCGAATGCAACAATTTAGCTTACCTGGGTAAGAGTCGTCATCTTCACTTACCGGGTAAGACTCTCCATCATTCTCATCGCTTTTACCCGGTAAGATTTTTGACCCTTGTCATGTTCATCCTATGAAGAAATTTATCTGGTAACCACTTATTAAGTAAGTGTTTAGTAAACTGCCCGTAACAAACCATAATGCACAAGCAATTATTCCTTGGCAAATGCAATATTTAATTTGAGTAATCAACATATTTTTAAAATAAGTAAAGTGAATGGTTAAAAATAGTTTTGCTTATTTGAAACAACTTATGTTTTTCTACATTAGCATTTATCAACTTATTATAAGTCAGAAGAGTGTAACTTCTTCAAAAACTTCTTATTACCTGTTTGATACCGATATAAGTTGTTTATCTAAACACTTAAAAGTGCTTATTATCGGTATCACAACGAAACAAGTCAATAAGTTGTTTCCATAAGCAATCCCAAACACCCTTTTATTCAAAACACAAAATTGTATTAAAAAAATAATTAACAATTAAATTTATTTAAAAAAAATAAAATATTATAAAAAATAAAAGACAAAAAATCACCCATTAAGGGCCCATAAAATCAAAGGTGTCAACATGTATACATACACATATGTAGAATATTTTTCCCTAATAAATTCATTTTCTATTATATTTCAAAAATAAAAGCCCATGACTCTTGCTTGTTTATAGGCACATCTCAAACACCCATCCTACCAAAAATTAAAAATAAATAAATAATAATAAAAATAAAAATAAATTCATACATTTTATTTCCATCAAAATTTATAAATAAATAAATAAAAAACAATCTAAAGCACCAATTGAGATGGTGTTCTATTATTGAGCCTTCTCCTTTTACTAGTAGTTGAATCATCACTCTTGTTGTAACTTAAGCTTGCAGCTTCAAGAACACCAATGGGACTTTGTGGCAAGGTACCACTCTTTATGCTCTTGGTACAACCACCATTCAACACATTCACCATTTCCACACATTTAAGAACCCTCTCCTGCAAAAACCCATGTCAAGAAACATCAAATTTCAATACTACCACTTAAAAATCATCAATCTTGAACAATGTACACTCTTTCATTCATAAAGTACAAGTCATTAAAGCATGATTTGCTCATTATAAAGATGTGAATAAAATAACAATTATTGTTGCAAGATTGCTAATTATATAGCTTTAGAGACGAAATCTGCAAAACCCCGTGTCGAAAAAGATATAATTTAATCAATACTATTTGAAATCATCAATCTTTTCTAAGGGGTTGTTTGTTTACTAGTTCCATTAAGAGGCAATCTCTAAATCGTTAAGAGGTAAATCTTGTTTGGCAAAAAAAAAAGTGTCTGTCTCGTAATGATTCTAAAACCCTCTGAATGATTTTGTATCATGAATCTCCCTTAACCATTAAGACCCCTAATTTCATCGTACACAATTACCAAACAATTATATTTCATATTGCACTATATCATGAGAGCCTCTTAATCATTCTGACCACTTAATCGTTCTGCAATTGCCAAATAGCCTCTAAGGCTAGACCATTTAAAAAGCACCGAATTTGAAGCAAATGACAAGTCTATATGCATAAGGTACAAGTTATTAAGCAATAACTCTCGATAAACATCTACGAAAACCCAATTATGGAAGAGAGAATCTAAGCTAAAAGAATACAAGTGATTATATCATAATTATGAATTACAAGTCTCCATAAAAAATGGCATCTTTTAGATCATCATGATAACTACTAAACATGTAAAATATAGAAAGCATCTAGAAACTACTATATGATCATTACCTTTTGTACATGTTTAAGGAGGGCAGAGATTTGAGGTTGTCCAACAACAGAAATTGCCACTCCTGCTGCAATCTCAGAAGGTCTGAACTCCAAGAAGTCAATCCCTGCATTGGTGAAATTACCCTTTTAGCCCTCTTCCACATACAACTCAATCTTATAGACCACACATAAGTAGAAAGAAGGGGGTATTAGACCAAATGTAGCTATTAATTACCATTAATTAAGCATAATATGAGTTGGGTTGATCTCAAAATTAAGGATCTTGAAATGGGTTGATCACAATCAAGTTTCCCAATGAAAGCATCTATAAAAGAAAATGGGGTCACTGTTTGCATCCTCCATTTTAATGTGGTCAACACAAGAAGCTCCATTTTTTGAATGGTTTTTGCTTCAAATACAAATCTTGCTTCACAAACCTGCAAATTCATTCATATTCTGACCATCAAAACCAAATTTACTTTAAAACCCCACACACAAAAATTATATAAAAAAAAACAAGCTTTTGGACCTGTAAATCAAGAATGAGGGGTACTTCAGTCTCTTCCATTTTGGATGCAAGTGATAAACAAGCTACAGCTAGCAATTGCATCATCCAAGCTTTGTCTTTCTGTTCATCAAAAAACACATAAAGATTAAAGATCGCGAATATAACCCACAGATTGAATGCATACCGAAATGTGATTTGAAATATATTGAGCATTAATCGAACCATCCTACTTAACGTTTTCGTATATACCGGTTATCATCCACAACAAAATAGGCAAAAGGAACACTTCTAGTTTACAATTATAGATGTTTTCTGAGTAATCATGACTAAAAGCATGACTCAATTCTCACATAATGAAGTTTCTTTTGGTAATCTTTGCAAGAAACATACTTCAAAGAGTTAATAACTCATGTTAGTTCATAAACTTTGATAAAAACAATAACAACTTACAGGGAATTCATAGACAGCAAGAAATCTGTCCAAGTAGTTTATGGATAAATATGCACACAAGGGTCCAAAATTGAAATGAGCATGAACCTGGTCAAAGACAAAATCAACCACAAAAAAGTGTTAGCATCTTCAAGATTTCCCAAATTTATGATTGAAAAAATAAAACTTTCTGTGTATTCTCAGAAATGTTTTAGCCCCAGATCAAAAAAATCCCTAATTCCCTACAAAAATCATCAGAAAACTTATTGAAAAAAAGACGATGAAGATGAACAAACCTTTCTAATCCAATCAACTGCTTGTTCTCTTGCAACAAAATCCAAGTTCCCTTTTCTTAATTTCTTCAAATAATCAAAACCCACAAACTGTTCACATTCTTTTTCAATCAACAAAGCCAAACAGTCATCACTTTGCAAAGGGAAATCAAGAACAGGGTGCTCTGTTTCAAGATTCTTAATAAAGAGCTCGTTTTTATTAATGTTTCGATGATTCCGATAACCCCATACTCCATCTTCGACATTATAGCGATCATCGTCATCATCATAACATATACTACCATTATCTTCTGAACACAATAAACTTGATAGCAGGCAATCAGCCATTAACAAAACCTCAAGAACACAAGAACTTTGAGCAGGGCAATCCCCAATATATATGATTTCAATGATTTAACAACAGAAATGGAACAATAAATAGAGATTAAAACTGGGGTTTTTTGTTCGTGTGAGAACTATCGATCTGATTGAAGATATAGAGATAAAGATTAGATGAAGCAGACTCTCTTTGCGATGTATTTTAGCAGAGCATGAGTAAAATAAAGGGCAAAGAATGCGGCGTATGTAAAGGAGAAGGAAATGGAGAAATGGGTTATGCGAAGGGGTTTAGTTTTAGGGCATAGTGAGAGTGAGAAGGAAGAGAAATGGAGGCGATTGTGAGTAATATATGCGACCCCTTTGTCCCAAAAACAAGAATTGCATTTTATTTTTTTAAATCTAGAAAAAATAGAGTTGGATGCAAGATTTTAATCAAAATCAAGTTTGACCGGGTGTTTGGTTGGCTAAAAATAAAATATAATATATCAAATGAATTAGAATCTGATTGTTTGATTTGCATCATATAACTTTGAAATTAACAAATTAACGATAAATGATCAAAAAACCTTTTTATGATATTTTCACACATTATTTATTGAATTTATAACTACTATATAATCATAAAATTGATAATATTTATTAATTGGTTGGGGGTGACAGTGGTGATGACTATAGTGGTGGTGGAGGTGGCGGCATTGGTGCGGTGATGGTGGTGGTGGCATCGGGAGGCGATGGTAATGGGGCAACGGTGGTGGTAACGATGGTAGTAGTGGTTGTGGACTTGCAGGTGGTGGTAGTAGTGATCACAGTAGTAGGCATGGGAATGGGATGGGGACCTCAATTCATGTCCTCGTCCTTATCCTTGCCGGGGAATATAATTACATCTCCATCTTCAACGGGAAACGATGATTTTTTTTCCGTTTATGTAAGTTATTTTAATTTAAATATGTGAAAGATTATACATGTTTAAATCTCAAACATTTTCAATAAACATAAAACCAAAATTAATTTAAATTAATACAAAAAAAACCGCAACATCATATAAGAATTGAAACTGAATAATAGTAAATGATAGTTTTATCTTTTAATGAGATTGTGATATGAGTAAAATCCCTAACGTTTCTCCATTGTAACATATCTCGTCCGTAAACTTCATTTAGTTACTTTTCGTCCCCTCGTGTTTGTCCTTTTTCTATGGATTTTGTTCTTCCATCCAAGGGACGTTTAACTTTTTTTTGTTAAATCCAATTAAATGGGAGATATTTTTGTCAAGGTTGAGTTTCGGTGAGAACGAGTGTTAAGGTGAGAAGTGTAAAAAGAGATTTTCATCCTTGGATGCACATTAGAATGAGATGCATCGAATCATTCCTTATATCAAGCGTGATTCATAGGTGAGTTCGAGATAAAAGGTGATCAAGTGTCCAGATCTTTTCTTACGCTTCTTACCTTAACTCTCCTTCTCACACGATCATTCGTCTTTTGGTCATTACCTATTTTATCAAAAAGCCCCAAAAAGTAAACATATTTTATATTATATGTTATATATTATATCATACATACACATCCATAGGGGGATTTTACGAGAGAATCAAACATTTGGTAAGATCCAGAAGATCCATCTCAAGCAAAAAATAATTTATATTCAGGGTTAATATAACTATGGATATTTTGGCAAGTAAATTTCTCGTTATAGAGACATTGTGGATATTTTTCAATCTATCTCCATTTTATTGGAAGCTAGTGAAATCATACATTGTTCACAAAATGAAACATTGTTCTTTACTCTCTATGGATATATTAAGTTCACAAGTGAAATCGGACATTATTCACCTTGTGATGCTTGGTTAACTCCAACTTGCCATTTTGTGTAAACCAGCCTTGCGAACACCTTGTGTAAAACGAAAACCAACATGAAATAGAACATGTTGGACCCACTTGTTGTTATTATTGTTGTCCTAATCACTTCCACATTCCATCTCTATTGAACCACCAAAACAGGGGATGATGTTAATCAATCTCGTGTTGCTATCACTAGCCCTTGATTCTCTGCCTTGGTCGTGAAACTTTCGTTATTATGACCAAGCCAAACGACCCTCGTTTTGTGCATTTGAAGGATCTTTTAGCAGTTGTTTTGTCTGTAATGTTGTATCAAGCGTCAGTTGTGAACCCCTTATCTTGATCTCTCTAAACCATCTATGTTGTGTGTATCTCCAGACAAAGGGATGAGAGAGAGAGAGAGAGAGAGAAAGAGAAAGAGAGAGAGAGGGGAAGGAATTTGTGGTTGTTCTGGTATGATTTTTGACAAACATGGAAGTTATGACATTCCCTGATTTGTTTAGTTGTCATTAGTTATCATATAATTATCAATTTACCCCTCTATTATTATATAAAGAATAAATTAATCTATTGTGGCTACTATTGGATCTCTAAGATTTCAGAAAAAATAGGGTTTTCAAATGATCATGTCCATACATATATACATACATACATGCATACATACATACATATATACATACATACATACATACATACATACATACATACATACATACATACATACATACATACATACATACATACATACATACATACATACATACAGGGGAACCTTCTTTTAAGAATTCTCTAAATCATGAGATCTAAGAGAACTAGTACGTTGTGTGCAATTTCATATGATTGTTTTTTTCATCCATAGCTAGAATTTAATGTAGTGATTAACATTATTTGTTTCACAAAGTGTTTGTTTCACATGTACTCGGTTCACATTATGAACTATTTTGGCGTGTTCGTGAAACAAAAAGTACACATAAAAAAGTTTCACCTTGTGAACCGAATACATATGAAACAAATGTATGTTAATCAATACATTAAATACTATATTTAAATTGAAAAAAAAATCATGTGAAACAAAACCTTAAGGTAGAAGTTCTTACGGATTTTCATAAAGTTTGGAATTATCAAATGATTAAATCTCTACATACACATACATGTTTGCAAAAAAAAAAACTTGGACTTTGCACTGACTTAGTTTTTCGAAGATTTTTCCCAGGTAATTACCGACATATTTGTGGCGGATCACCGGCGAATTGATCATCACTGTGATTGAAAATCCGCCGGTAGTCACCATCACCTGCCACACTTTCTCCTGTGATAAGATCATCGGTGATGACTTTTTCCGACAGATTACCAACGAATTTTCGTCGATGAAGCCTCTTGGTTTTGTAATGGTAGGACGGACAAAACCCAAGTGTTTTTGTCCAACATGAGTGACAAGTCTAGAGTCAACGAATTCTTAAAACCAATTACATTAAAACCTAAAATTAGGCGACACAAAATTTAATTTACTCTTTAATTTTCGCTCCATGTAGTTTGTTGATTATTATAAATTTGGTCTCTAAACTTTATTTATTACAGAAAAAGCCTTTTAGTTTGCATTTTGTTTCAAAATTATCTCTCAGTCCAACATCAATTGATCTTCTCTGTTAAGTTCGAAGAAAGTCTGTCTTTTTTTTTTCCTTTTTCCTTTGTTTTAACATTTTTCTAATTTTTTTAATCTGTTCTTGAATCTCTTTTACACATTAATCATCAAAAACAGTTACCAACAAACTTATATAATTTCAATCAACAGCCATTGTAAAAGATCATCATCACCTGCAAAAACATATGAACATAAATAACAATTTTTGTACAATTTCATTCCAAAATTTTCTGATACGAAACCTAAATAAAAAATGTAAATCAAACCCTAAATAAAAAACATAAATCAACTTTAAATCCATGGATTTAACTTTGGATAAGTGCAACACAAAGAGGTAGAGAGAGATAGAGATAGTATGTTGGGCCAACGATTGAACTTGATTTATGAAGTTCATCGGTGTATCAGAGTTCTTATAGTGACGTCAACCAACGCTTAATAACTTCTCATATGCAACCTTCACTACCACCAAGTTTTTGATGAGGCTGAAGTAGAGAGAGGGAAAGATAAGAGATGGTATCCATTATGTGTGGAGATGGAAAAGGGGAATTCATCGTAGATGGAGTTGGGGCGCCGAAGTTGTTGGCCAGGGGGTTTTACTGAGAGATGAGGTTTTAGTATATTTTGGAGGCACTGGAGTGGGAAGGGGTACGTCAGGTGACAAATGAGGTTTCACGAAGATGGAGTAGTGGCACCGAAGTTGCACGCGAGGGTTTTGTTCGGAGTTGTAAGGGGAATCAGAAAAGGGATATATCATATGATATAGTGGCCGAGCGTTTCACCTAGATAAGAGGTTTTGTTGAATATTTGTAAACAAAATAGAGAAAATCATTATCTTAATTAAAAATATTCAAAAAAGAAAGAAATAATATTATTTTTTTATCATAGAAAAAATAACTGGAAAAAAATAGTAAATGAGAATTTTGTTCTCGTAATTAATGGAGATGGTAGACAACCAATAATGTGAGAGAGATCCACAGTTGTACAAACAATCAACCTCACATACAAGAAACTGAAATATAGAAGGAAACCCTAAAAACTCTCTTAAAGAAAATGATGAAACCCTAAAAACTCTCTCAAGGAAGACGAAGGTACTTTCAAAATTGTAAAACTGATCTGAGCTACGAAGAGCCACTCATATATATATATATATATATATATATATATATAGGGAAAGGTTCAAGTGATAACACCTTCATTTTACGAGAACGCTAGAACACCCTTTACTATAGATAACCACATGTGATACTATTATTTAATCACATATGATACACATGTGATACTAAATTAGAGACGCGGGCGATTTTCGATGCGATATTGGTTGCGGGCCAAGTCGCCCTTACACCACTAAGCCTTCTCACAAGTATTATCACATGTGATAAGGGTGTTGTTGATATGATACTATAATCTATTAAGACCATCACATGTGATGCTAAATCATAGACGCAAACAACCTTTGGCGCAGCCTAAGTCGTAGAACACATCATCCGCACATCACAGGGTCCCCTCATGCGTATTATCACATGTGATAAGGGTGTTCTCACGTTCTCATAAAATGGGTGTGTTCTCATTTGAACCTCCACCTATATATATATATATATATATATATCAAAAAGTTTCATTTTGACCCCTTAAAAATATGCATAACTGCTCCATTACCCTTCTATAAACAAGACAACTTCAAATCACCCTCCTTGATCAACACCTTTACAGAAACAACCCCATTTAAAACTAATAACCTGAAATATAACATCAAAACTCATAAATGACAAGATTGGATAATAACAAAGCCTTGTTTAAC